GTTTATTTTTCCCGCTAACACTGGCAAAACATGAAATCAGCTTCTCGCAGATAGCGGTGCTGATGTTGTATCATACTACAAACCTTTATTTTGCAACACACTGAATACAAGAAAATTAAATAAGATACATCCAAGAATATAAATTTACTGTTTCAGTATTTCTTAGTAAAACAATGATCATAATAATAATAACCCAGTGGGAATAAAGTATTAAAATGAGAACAAAAAATTATGATAAATAAGCTTCTGTATATGGCTATCACTTACGACTTCACCTGTTTCTTCGGGGAAGGAAGGAAGCAGTTTCACTCTACACAGGTGAAGTGAAATAATAGAAGCAGAGTTGACAACAAGAAGTTATGTTGCTGTAGGTGCAATAAAAGCTTCCCAGCAAGTGTTACACTGAACGTAAGTGAGTGAGAGCGAGTGCGCTGCAGCTGAAGCGTAGTGTAGTAAACACGGGACAAAATAGAACTCGAGTGATTGATTGGAGCCATTATGGCCGTAACCAGTGCAGCTTTTTGTCAGAATCGGGCTGATATCCAATCAATACATTGTTAATTATTCCAATCAATTGTTACAAGAAAGCGGTTACAGTTATAGGAGCCACGGACTAGTTTAGTTAGGTTTTGGATATGGCAGTCAAACCTGTTAATCACCCCAACAGCCAGATGCTAGCTTTCAGTCTTGATACGCGTGCCCTGTATTAATACAGAATGTTGCTGCTGGAGATGCAGACTGGCTTATACGAGTGTAAATCCTGTGATACTGATAAACTTTTCATATAGCAGTAAAATAAGAGTTTACACATGATAAATGCTGTTTAAACACAAACAGCTGCAGAAGTGCGGTTCACATTTAATGCAAACGTATTTTAAACCAGCACCCATCTGATTACAGTAAGCCAACAGTTCAGGTTGGACATGCATTTAATTTGGATAGTTTTTGCCGCTTGAGATATATTTTTAGAGCCATAAGTACCTGGCCCTGAGGCTACTTTAACTTTAATGTATTTATATTTATAACCAGATCAGCATTTTTGCACCAGCAAAGAAATAACCTTTGTTCATAAATAAACTCCTGAAAAAATGAACACTGCATGCCACCGGCACATAGAGCCAGCATGATAAGCACATTGCTGATCTTGATTTCTGATGGTACAGAAATCAAGGTCAGCAACACCTGATGTACCGTGTTAAAATAACCGCTGGTAGTCAAGACTGATGAAAAGCGTAATGTGACAGCAGCGTGATGAATCAGACAAGGACTCAAATCAAACTGCACATGTTGTCTCCAACATCGTTTCTCTACTTCAGACTAAAACACAGTCTGAGAGTTTTTAAATTAAAATAAAATCTCTGTTTTCAGTGCCCCCCCCCCAAAAAAAGGTAAAGTAGTTTGGATGTTAGGCAAAAAGCTGCAAAAGTTTTACATTTTAATTTTAAGATGAAAACCTGTTAGCACGGACATGTCCTGGGTATCAGCTGCCTCACTCTCTCTTTCACCTGGAACATGTATACCTCAAAAAACACACGCACACACCGTCCATTCATCCATGACCACCCTGTTACACCCCGCACTTGGCAGGATGCTTATCTGAGCAGACAGCTTTGGGCGCAGGGAGCCATCTCTTCTGATCTCCTCTGCAGTTTAAGAACCTTTTAACTAAGAAATAGCCCTCTGCCAAGCCCACCGCCTCTTGATTCCGGATTATTCCCTCATCTCATGGGACTGATCTTCCGCCCCCATTGCAAACCCTGCAGCAGCGTTAGCAGAACGAGAAAGAGCCGATAGACATCCTGGCTTTTGAGATATCCCTGCACTGGTGTAATAGGAGACCTGTGAGTGGATTTGATGAGTGAGTGAAGTGCAGGTGGGGTTTTTTTTTTTTTT